AAGAGGCTTTCTAGAAGGTCCAAGCTTTCCAAGGCCTAGTGTATGCAATGGTTCCTGAGCTCGGGTGGCTAAATGGCTCCAAACTTCCAGAGAAATAGGATCCATTTTTGACATCTAGCTTTTCTGACTCCCAGCTCACCCTCCTCCTACAAAGGACACTTTAAAGCATTGCAGAAATTTTAGGAGGGGTTGGCGAGGCTTCTCGTCCAACCCTGGAGGAAAGAGCAAGGGCTCTGGACTGGGCGGGGGGGGGGGGGCTCGACTCTAGCTCTCCCACTACTGGCTGTGGGCCTCAGGCACTCGACTTACAACCTTTACGTCCCATTTCTTCGGCTGAGATCAAGAATGACAATTACCTACCTGCCTTATCTGTCTCATAGGGTGTGTCCATACATATTCTGTCTTTATCATTAGTCTTTGCCTAGGCCATTCCTCAGGCCCTCCTCACTAAGGTGCCAGCTCCTTGCCCAAGCTGGGTACAATGTCCTATACAACGGGGAAACCTGATAAACACGATGTGATATCGAGTGATGAAGCTGCACACCTCCGGGGCAACTCCGACCCAGGGAGACAAAGTCACACCTGACATCACCCTAGGGGTGGGCTACAGAGCACACCCAGGTCTTGCAGAGAAAAAGACAGACTGAAACAAAAAATCAGCCAGAGGTGGCCCAATTTCCATCAGCCGATCCAGGGCACCGCCACTCTGGGTTACATAAAATACAGGATGCCAGAAACCAACCACATAAAAAAGAAGTGCTCTGTCCAGCATGAAATGGATTCCAGCTGGGACAATAGCAGTCCCACTTCCACTTAAGGACACGGAGCAAGGCTGTCTCTGGCCGAAGCCACAGCTTCTCTCGCCCCAAGCCAGGAAATACCCTGGCTTGGCATCGTGAACAGACTCTGGATTGTGCCCAAAGCATCTTCCTTACGCAGTCCTAGGCTTTGCACGTCGCTTTTACTTCCATTCCCAGACACGATTCCTGGTGGTTTTTATTTCGAAGACTTAGCTGGATTTTGCCAAAATCAGACTGTTTTGACTGGCAATCTCACTTCTGACCCCAAAAGTCCCCAACCTGACCGCTGTCACTTGCAAAGACGTGAAACCGTCAGAGTTCCAGCAAGGCGTCACATGTTCTATCCCTAGTCCCCCTGGAGGGGCACATGGTTCCTGGCCATGATGGGACCAAGTCATTGCCTACCGGCAACCACACGTAGAGAATCAAAACATGAAGGAAAGTTGGACCTGAGAGGGACAGGAGCGTCCCCGAGACCACAGACCAGAAGCAACTCAGGGACACACACCAATGCCTTCAAAGCGATTACAGAACATTAGCAGTAAAAGGCCACCAGAAGCCTCTAAGCTGACTTCCGGATTTGAGAGGAAGCCAGAAGCCTGTACCGCGTCACCAGCTGGGCACCTGCCAGGAAGCCCTTGGGGCCCCCACCTGCCCAGAACCCTCCTGGGTTACCTTGGTGCTCTGCTTCTCCTTCATGATGATCCGGGACAGGAGAACCACCCAGATGGGCATGGTGGCCTTGACTGCAAAGAGAGGCAAGGGGCTCTCAGGGAGCCGCCCCAGTCCCCGAACCCACCCTGGGACCCTGTCCCAACTCCACTAGTGCGATGGGAGGGCTTGGCAGCCCTTCCATCCTCCTCAGCCCTTCTGTGGGGCTTCCCCGCAACCCAACAGTTGTGATTCGCTCTGCTCAGCTCCCAGCTCTCTTTTCAGCCACTTCCCTCCCCAAAACCCTTGTGCGAGTCGTCGTCTCCCCCGCCCCTCCGCCGCTAAAAGCCTTGTTGGCCCCCCAGCGCCTTCCTGACAGAAGTTGACTTCTCAGGCCGTCGGGCCGCAACCCGGCCAGCGTACTCCTATTCAAGCGCCGAAACCCCGGGTGGCGCGTCCGGGCTGCCGCCCCCCAGGCCGGCCGCGGCACCCACCGGTGTGCGCGTAAGACACTGGCACCTTCCAGATGCTGACGTGCGCTGACACGGACGCGAAGTACTTGCCGAAGGCGAGTGGCAGCACGTAGCGCGGGTAGAAGCGCGGCGGCAGCAGCGGGCCGGGAGACGGATGCGGCCCGGGCCCAGGGCCCGAGACGGGGGGCGCGGGGGGCACGCGCCAGGCGCGCAGCAGCGGCGGGAGCCCCGCGCACAGCGCCAGGATGTGGCACAGCGACACGGTCACGGGGAACGGGAAGGCGCTCAGGATCACCTTGTTGACCACGTTACCACCCGCGCTCAGCGCGTACCAGAGCAGGCACAGCGCCGCCACCCGCGCGCCCTCGCGCGCCCCGCCGCCGCCCGCCGCTCCCGGGCCCCCCGCGCCCGCGCCCACCGCAGCCGCCGCCGCCATCCTGCCCGAGCGGCCACCTCTTCCCGCCCGTCCGACGGCCCGACGCCGGGCGGGGGCGGGGCCGGATAGGGGCGGGCGCGCCGGCCAACGCCGCTCCCCATTGGTCGGTACTGCCTCGCGTCACCGCCTCGCGCCGGCCGACGCGCCCGCCACCACGTAGCGGGCGCAGGCCCCGCCCCTCTGGTGGCCTTCCGGCCGGGGCGGTGCCTATCGCGGAAGCGGAAGGTGGGGAAGCGGCGCCCTGCCTAGCGGGGCTTCCCCGGCGCTGAGTGGAGCCGCGGCTCGAGCTGAGTAGGCAGAAGTGCAAAGGCCCTGTCTCGTCGGCGTCTGTGAGCGGGCCATCGAGCTCGGGAGTCAGACCTCGATTCCCACGCTACATCGGCGCCCTCCAACCGTACTCCTGATGGGCGGGCGACGGCGGACACCAAGGATAAAAGACCAGACCTTTCCGGAAAGAAACCAAATTGTGAAAAGCTTTTCATAGGCTAATTTTTTTCTGCAAAAACACCGGAGGGACTTCCATGGCCGGACTCCCAACAGAAGGGCTAGCCCGGAGCGCCCGGTCTCCGGGGGCTCGTTCTGGGAACCACTGCGACGTGTGCTGTGCGGTAGGTGTATGATCATCTCCATTTCACAGACGGACAGCCCGAAGCCCAGAGAAGGGAGGCGACTTGGCTTAGGTCTCCTGGTCAATTCGGGAGCCGTGGCCATGGTAGCCTACTCCCGCACCTGTCTCCAGGGCTCTTGCAGGCGGGAGAGGTTGCCGGGCCCTGACTGCTGATGCCCAAGGCCAAGAGAGATCAGCCCCAGACCCCAGCGGAGGAAGACAAGATGGTGTTTTCAGCAAGATGGTTTTATACTAAAGGACTTTGATTTGTTCCAAAAATCATGTACTGACAACTTTTTGGGGGCGGGGGGGTTAAGATGCCCTTTTACAACGTCTTTACTTGGCATATTAGAAAGTGGCAACCCACTGATTTCCAAAATGTGGGAGGGAAATCTTAGCTTAATTTTGCGTTCTCAAAAGCAGGCAGTATCTTTATGCTGGGGCTTACTGGGTACTTCGACACAGAAGTGGTCCTGCAGGTGGGGGCAGGGAGCAGGGACCTGTCCTAAAGCCCAGGTGTGAGAAAAGGAGATGCTCATAAGATGCCAACTTTGGGGCGCCTCGGTGGCTCAGTCGTTAAGCGTCTGCCTTCGGCTCAGGTCATGATCCCGGTGTCCTGGGATCAAAACCCCGCATCGGGCTCTCTGCTCTGTGGGAAGCCTGCTTCTCCCTCTCCCACCCCCACTCCCCCTGCTTGTGTTCCCTCTCTCGCTGTCTCTGTCAAATAAATAAATAAAATCTTAAAAAAAAAAATAAGATGCCAAACTGTACCCTAGTATCTTTCAGCTGTGCTTACGACTCCTTGTCACAGAATAAGTCACTTCCTGGGGACACCCACACAGCAGCAGGGCTGGCCCACAATACAGGCACAGTGGGTTTAGGAAAGTAGTTACTCCATAGCACAAAGGGTTCTACGGACATACTCCCCCCCCCCTTTTTTTTTGGGTTAAACTCTGTTTAACTTACCCTCACAGCTCTGGAGTAAGCACTTTCATCTCCCAGATAGAGACGTGTATAGGAGTGAAATGATTATCTTAGAGCCATACAGCTCATAGATAGCAGGTCCAGAGTCAAACCTCAGCCTGTCCTCAAAGCCACTTCATCCACTGCCCTTATCTTAGGGTGGGTGTGTCTTGCACCAACACCGTATCAGAAATCCCTGCTGCTTCTGAAATTGTGGTTCTGGGCTGACTCAATGGTTCTGGATCCCCTGGCTCACCCTATGCGACTGTCCTTTTTTTTTTTTAAGATTATATTTGTCAGAGAGCGAGCGAGCGTGAGAGCACACAAGCAGAGGGTGTGCCAGGCAGAGGGAGAAAAAGACGCGGGGCTTGATCCCAGGACCCTGGGATGATGACCTGAGCTGAAGGCAGACGCTTAACCGACTGAGCCCCCCAGGTGTCCTGAGACCCCTCTTAAGGGGTAGCTGCTTCCTCATCTGTGAAATGAAGTAGGTACATCCAACATGACCTATTCTGTACTGAAAAATTTTGAAAACCATAGTCTTAGCTGACAGTTTCAGGGATGAGGGAGAAGGAAGTATTATCACTTTTATAGTCAAGGCAGAAAGTTATTTTTTAAAAATAGCACCTGCCGGATACTGAGACAGCCCCAGGCCTGCATGGGGAGCTAGCAGCCTGGCAGAGCCAAGGGGTGCACTGCCAGATGGGGCTCTGGGCCATGCCCTGTAAAAGCTAGATACTTTGTGGGGTAAAACAAGGTTACCAAGACCTGGGACATGGAACCCCTTTGGAGGGCTTCTTTCTCTGGGGCAGATGGGGTAACGTTTCTTCATGTGGACCTTCGGTCTCTGTCACCCAAAGCTAGTAAGAGACCCCGGAGGTGGAACAGGCAACATGGCCCTGAATGAGTGAAAGGCAGGTGGGGGTCAGTTTTCATGCAGAACACTAATAGGCTGCCTTGGCCACTTTGCCCTGCCCACCTCCCTGCAGTCTGGCAATGGAGCCCAAACCTCAGACACGAAAGGCTGATATGACCGTAAGGGACCAAATCAGTAACGATTCTGAGACTGGTTTGTGCAAATGGTTTTTTTTTTTTTTATTTCCACATTTATATCACAAGGTGTCCACTTACTGGACCAAATAGCAAAGTTGCTCCCTTCTGCGTCTTGAGAACACAGAAGTCTAGGTACTGTACATTCACTAAGGCTCCTTGTTTTTGCAAATCGCGTTTATGACAAATAACCATAAGGCAAACGAATCTAAAGGAATGGTTATGAGTGTTTCCAGCGTACAGACAGGTCTCCTCTTGCCCAACAGTACAGCTTACACACCAGTAGCACCCGCGGTTACTTTTGTGTTTTTTTGGGAGGGGACTCTAGAAAGGTGAAATTTTCAAGATATGCGCAGGAAGGGCAAGGGGGGGGGACACTTTGAAAAGGGAGAAAGGAAAATTATTTGGCTGGTGGTCAGATGGAAGAGGGGGATAAAATAAACTAGAAAACTTAGATTTTTGCAGCATTTTTTCCAAAACTGGGTTTTAACCGAAACCAGATGAGAATGTGTGGACGCCCACGGAGCGCAGGTCATACTGGCTGCCGGCTGGGGTGCAAACAGGCCGCGGTGTAGGCACACCCCCTGCCTCAGACACTCAGGGCCAAATTTAAACAAGGAAAATGCAAAGAGATGAGCTGCGTGCTTCTGTTGCTGTTTAAAGGTAACCTCTCCCCCAGGTTTTCTGTGCCTGCCTGCCACTGAGGTCCCAGCTCACGGGTGCTGGGAAATGTCCGCACCTCTTCCGGGGTGGGGAACTAACGCTTTTTATAGCTGGTTTGCTATAGAGTTCTGAACTCACTTTGCCGGCCTTCCTTCCACACGGTCCTTCCTTTGCAATTTTGTTAGTAAACTGGTAGCAGCATTTCACAAAAGAAGGAGAATTTTGAGGGAAGAGCACGGAGAGACCTCGAGACTCCCGCCCCCTCCCTCCCACCCTGGGCCGGACTCCCCGGATTCCCAACCGCTGGAGGCTGCCCGCCTGCCACGCTAACTGCAAGGTGGGAATGCACTTAGAGGCCGACAGGCTGCTCAGTCCAAGCAGACATAAGGCAGAATGTTCAACCGCCCGTCGTCCCCATGCGGGTCGAGCGATATGCACTGCGTCCAGTCATACCAGTTACCCTGTGTGTCCTGACACCCGTTCACCCCTGGCCACTGGTGGGCCTGGATTCTGTCCAGATCGTCCTGCGTGACCTCGCGGTTCAGCCCCGGGAGGTCCGTGGGCGCGCTGTGAGGCACCAGCACGTGTGGCTTCCGCGCCCCGCGCCGGGTGCTCTCCTCCTGCTTCAGGTACTCAGACATGAAGTGGTGAGCCCCTGGGGTCTGTGCGCCTGACGACGAGAGCAGGCTGCTCTGCCGGCTCAGGTAGGACTGGATGATCTCGTTGCGCGACAGCTCCTTCCAGTTCGTCTGTTCAAAAGGGCTCTGGACGCTGGCCTTGGCCTCGGGCTTGTCCAGCTCTGTCCTGGGCTGCTCTGTGTGCACGGGGCTGTCAGCCCGCACTGGCTCTTTCTGGGTCAGAGGTTTGATCTGTCTGGTCATGGGGTCAAAGGTGAGCTTCCGCTCTTTTAACCGGACGGGCTTGACACCCGCCTCCGCCACCTGCCCATCCAAGTTCACCGTGTAGTCACGAGGCCGGTACCTCTTCTTCTTTTTGCTGTCCGAGCCACCAGACGAGGCAGCGTCGCTGTCCGCCTTGGAGGAGTCCGGGGAAAAGCCCGCCCGGGGAAGGAGGGGCTCGGCCGGGGGCAGCCCCCCCTTGCAGCCCTGCCCCGCCAGCCGCTGGTGGCCCTCAGGCTGCTCCAGCCAGCGCACCGGGCTCTCAGCGCTGGGCAGCAGCTCGAGCCGCCTCACGGGTGGTGTGGACGGCTGGGCCAGCGGAAGCGGCGATGGCACCTGTGTGGCATCGAGCGCCTGGGGCCGTGGAGAGGGGCTGGGCACGGAGCCCTTGGGTGTGTACGGGCTCCGCTGCCGGGCAAAGGAGCCCTCGTGCCGTGAGTTCCGGGGACTGAAAGAGCAGCGAGGCGGCCCCTTGGGGTGGGGGGGCCCCGGAGTCTCACCCACCCGGTCCAGCTGCTGCAGCACTGTGGCCTTGGTCTGCAAGCAGGGGCCCGGGGGCTTGCCCAGGCCTGGGGAGCTGGTGTGCGGCCGCACGGCGTTCACGGGAATCTTGCCCCCGTGTTTGTCGCTCTCGCCGTGCTCCAGGCGGCTGCCCTCGGGGCCCGCGTGCCCGCTGCCGTCCAGGGTGCCAGGGAAGCTCTCGGGGCTCCCGCCGATGCCGTTGGTGGGGAGGGGGGATGAGTTGGGTACCAGGGAGTCGTGGCTGGCTTTGGAGACCTTGGGAGGTGGCCCAGGGTGGCCGAGGTCACGCTGATCTCCCCGGCGCTTGCGGCTACCCAGCCTGTCCAGCCGCTGCCCAGGCAGCCTCTGGATGTCATTGCGGTTCTTCAGCTCATGGATGCTCTTGGGCGCGCCGGCCGCTCCCCCCTCCGGCCGGCAGTTGTGAGCACCCCCGTTGGCAGAGCCGGTGCTGCCCGCCAGCCCTCGCAGCGCCGCCTCATTCTGGTGCACGGGCTCAATGAGCTTCTGCCAGCTCCGCAGCAGCTTCTTGGCCCGCTTGGCGAGCTCCTCGTTCTTCGTTTTCTTGCGGACGTCGTTGATGAGCTTCCCAAGTCGAGTTTCCTACAATGAGAGAGAGATGATGACATGCCTTTGGGACAGCAAGTCCCCCATGAAAATGGGAGCTGAGAGCCCCCTGGTCTTTGGATTAATCCCACTGCCCCTTAAACCACAGAGTTCCTGGGTAACAAAACTCATGGGGATTTGGGGTCCTTTGTGACATCTAACTTCTGAAATCTAGTCCTCAAACTTCAGGGTCCTGGGGCCAGGGGCGGCATCTTCAGAAGCACCATCCCGCAGGCTCCTGGCACCTAGAGGCTGTGGACCGTCAAGGCCAGGGCAGAGACACTGTGCCAGGGAAGCTCTTTGGGTGAAAGCACACGGCAAAGGCACAGCAAATGGAAGACCTGAGCCCGCATCCCTCTCACTGGAGCCTCTCCCCCTCCTCCCCCCAGACAGGCATCCCAGCCCTGGGACTAGAGCTACCCAATTCCTGCAGTGACCATAGGAAGATGTTGCTTTCGGCACAGCCGAGGCCAGGAGGGTATGTACACCCCTCACTCAGCACTACTAAGTCCTCACCTGGCCTGTGAGAGCAAAGGCTCCAAGAAGCCAGGAAGGACTCAGGTTGGGGAAGCCAAGGCCCTGCCCACCCTGCTCTTCCCAATGTTGGGTCCTGGGGACACTCACCTCCAATGCCTCTTTGGTAATGGGGTATTTCTCCAGGCTGGAGATGACTTCCAGCACCGCCACCATGTTCCGGATCTACAAAACAAGAGCCACTTGTCAGACCTCTGCCCTTCTCCCTGTTCCAGCCCACTCTGGGCCTCTCCCTCCCAAGAGCCAGTGGAGTCGGTGACATCAAAGTTCTCACCCCATGCCATCTCCTACCTGCTCCTGAGGCCAGCAAGGTACCCAGTGCTCACCCTCCCTCTGCCTCCTCTGGTGCATGGGGTGCAGTTGACCACGAGACCACGAGCCCATCCATGGCCATGCCCACCTACCCAAGTGGCTGTCACATGGCTGAAACCCATGACGTTCATGAAATAAGATTTGCTCCTGATCCAGGGGAGGTATTCTACTCTACCATCTCATGGGGGGCAGAGTGCTGAAGGATTTATCAAATAAAACACACCGAGCTTAAGATCAATAAAGGCATACCTCCCTTTTGTGTTCTTAGCTTTACCACACGTCACAGATACTGTTTTTTACGAATTGAACTGTGGCAGCCCTGCACTAAGCAAGTCTACTGGTGCCATTTTCCAACAGCATTTGCTCACCTTGTGTCTGTCTCTATGTCACATTTTGGTAATTCTCATAATATTTCAGATTTTTTAATTATTTGTTATGGTGATCTGTGATTAGTGATTCTCGATGTTACTACGTGACTGCTTTGGGGTGCCACAAACCGCAACCATATAAGACGGCAAACTTCACTGATACTGTGTGTGTGTCCACTGCCCAGCCATTCCCCTGTCTCTCTCCTCTCCTTGGGCCTCCCTGTTCCCTGAGACACAACAGTGTTGAAATCAGGCCAAATGAGAACCTTACAATGGCCTCTACGTGTTCAAGTAAAAGGAAGAGTCACACACCTCTCACTTTATATCAATTTTAGTATATGTGCTGCCGAAGCGAGTACTCTCACTTTATATCAAAAGCTAGAAATGATTTACACTTAGGAAGTCATGCCCAAAACCAAGACAGACTGAAAGCTACGCCTCTTGGGCCAAACACTTAGCCAAGCTGTGAAGGCAAAGAAAGTTCTTGAAGGAAATCAGAGCGCTAGTCCAGTGAACAAACACGGGTGATAAGAAAGCGAACCCGCCTTGTTGCTGATGTGGACTAAGTCTGAGTGGTCTGGATAGATTAAACCACCATATTCCTTTAAGCCAAAGCCTAGTCCAGAGCAAGGCCCTAACTCTTTTCACTTCTGTGAAGGCTCAGAGAAGTGGGGAAGCTGCAGAAGGAAAGTCTGAAGCCGGAAGAGGTTGGCTCATGAGGTTTAAGGAAAGAAGCCAACTTCATAACATAAAAGTGCAAGGTGAAGCAGCAGGTGCTGATGTAGAAGCCACAACAAGGGATCCAGAAGATGCAGCTGAGATAATTCATGAAGATGGCAACACAACAGATTTTCAATGTAGACCAAAGAGCCTTCTACTGGAAAAAGATGCCATCCAGGACTTTCATAGAGAGAAGTCAATGCCTGGCTTCAAAGCTTCAAAGGACTGGCTGACTCTTGTTGGCTAAATGCAGCTGGTGAATAAGTTGAAGCTGATGCTCATTTACCATATGGAAAATCCTAGGGCCCTTAAGAATTATGCTAAATCGACTCTGCCTGTGCTCTAGAAATGGAACAACAAAGCCTGATGACAGCACATCAGTTTGCAACATGGTTTACAGACTATTTTAAGCCTACTGTTGAGACTTACTGCTCAGGAAAAAAGATTCCTTTCAAAGTCTTACTGCTCGTTGACAATGCACATGGTCACCCAAGAGCTCTGATGGCGACGAGCAGTGAGATGAATGTTGTTTGCATGCCTGCTGACACCACATCCATTCTGCAGCCCATGGACCAACTTCCAAGTCCTATTCTTTAAGAAGTACATTTTGTAAGGCTACAGCTGCCATAGACAGTGATTCCTGATACATCGCGGCAAAGTAAATTGAAAACCTTCTGGAAAGGGTTTACCATTCTAGACGCCATTAAGAACATCTGTGACTCAGGGGAAGAGGTCAAAATACCAAAATGAACAGGAGTTTGGAAGAAGTGGAGTCCAACCCTCATGGATGACTTTGAGGGTTCAAGACTTCTGTGGAGGAAGTAACCACAGGTGTGATGGAAACTGCAAGAGAGCTGAAATCAGAAGTGGAGCCTGAGAATGGGACTGACTTGCTCCAATCTCATGCTAAAACTTGAACGGATGAGGAGTTGCTTCTAATGGATGAGGAAAGAGCACGGTTTCTTGAGCTGGAATCTACTCCTGGTGAAGATGCTCTGAAGATTGCTGAAATGACCACAAATGTTTAGAATATTACAGAAAATGAGCTGACAAAGCAGTGGCAGCATTTGAGAGGACTGATTCCAATTCTGAAAGAAGTCCTACTGTGTGTCAAATGCTATCAAACAGCGTTGTGTGCTACATACAGAGAAACTGTTCATGAAAGGAACAGCCAATCGATACAGCAAACTTCACTGTTAAGAAACTGCCACAGCCACCCCAGCCGTCAGCGGCCACCACCCTGATCGGTCAGCAGCCAGCACCATGGAGGCAGGACATTCCATCAGCAAAAGATTATGATTTGCTGAAAAATGAGATAATGGTTAGCATTTTTTTAGTAATGAAATCTTTGGGGTTTTTTTGTTGTTGTTGTTTGTTTGTTTTAGAGAGCAGGGGAGGGGGAGAGAGAGAGAGGATCTTGAGCAGGCTCCAAGCCCAGTGTGGAGCCCAACGCGGGACTCGATCCCACGATCCTGACAGCATGACTTGGGCCAAAATCAAGAGTCGGACGTTAACTACATCATCACCCAGGTGCCCCAATAATAAAGTATTTTTAATTAAGGTATATACATTGTTTTTTTAGACATAATACTATTGTGCACTTAACAGACTACAGTATAGTGTAAACACCACTCTTACATGCACTGGGAAACCAACAACTTCATTTGCCTCTGTGTATTGTGATAGTGTCTTGGTGGTCTGGAACCCAACCCGCAGTATCTCCGAGGAATGCCTGCACACAGTAATCCAATCGATTTAGCTACATTAACAAGACCTTTAGAGTTCATCCCAAGACACCAAAAAGTGACAAAGTGGGAGAAGAGAGATGCCACAAGGCCCCAAGGATCCGTGTGTCTGGAACACAGAAACCCTGGGCCAGCAGACAAGAGGAGGCAGCAGGTGAAAGAGGAGATGCAGCACCTGTGCTCAGCTCTCGCAGGCATCAGAGAATGCAGACGGAAGCTAGGAGAGGCTACCCCGTGGACATGCCCACCAACCAGCGGAACTGGCATCTGACAGTACCAGGGAGTTCTGGGCCCAGCCCAGTCTCAGAAGCGACGGCCTTTGGCAGTCTCACGTGTGCACACCTGCTGACCAAGCCACTCCATCCCTTGTCTGCTGCTCACTGTGAGCCAGGCCCTGCTCTCATCCATGTGTTTCCATGCGGCACTACTCTGTGCAATCACAACGACCTCATGGGGAAGGTGCTATTACCACATTTTACAGAAAGGAGACGCCACACAAAGGTGCAGGTCATGTAATCCAATGTTACAGGGACACCAGTGTCTTCCAAGAGTCAAAGGAGCAGAACGAAAAACTCAGGAGTAACAGAAACGAGCCAACTGTAGCCTCAGTGCACCCAACAAGTAGCAGCTCAGACCACAGGAAGTGAAGCAGCTCAGACCACAGGGAGTGGAGTCACAGAAAACACAGACTGCATGATTCCATTTACACCAAACATCAGAGCATACTCAAAAGTTAATTTAAAATCAGTCAGACTTGGCCTGTGGCTGGCTCAGTCAGTAGAGCATGTGACTCTCAGTCTCGGGGTCATGAGCTTGAGCCCCACGTTGGGCACAGAGCTTACTTAAAAAAAAAAAAAATATATATATATATACACACACACACACACACATATATATATATATATATACATATATATATATATACACACACACATATATATATATATATATATATATATATATTCATTCCTAAAATCAATCACAGGCCTAAATATGAAAGCAAAAATTCAAAGTCTTTTAGAAGACACAGGAGAATATCTCTGCAACCCTGGGGTAGACAAAGATTTCTCAGGACCCCCAAAGCAGTAACCACCTAAGAAAAAATAACTGACAAACTAGGCTTCATGAAGATTAAGAACTTCTGCTTACTACAAGAAGCAAACCTCAGCCCGGAGCACGTGCTGACAAAGCATGCCCAGGGAAGGGCTCGGCTCCAGATGAGATAAAGAGCTCTTGCAGCTCAACAACTCCCAGCAGATGCAGGTTTCAGTGGGCTGGCAAGACAGCGGAGCCCGCGTCCTGAGGAAGGCCCCCTCACCACCCAAAATCACATAGTGAGCACATCACGCACCCACACACACTAGAACTGAGTTCTGCAGGCACGCGAAAGGGCACAAGGAAAGGTACATCCATCTCCCACCCAGCCACTGCAAGTGTTTCCCTGTATCTTTTCCAAAAATATTCCTTGCATATAAAAGCTTGTGTATATACTTATCATGAATTAAAAAAAAAAAAAAAGCAAAACATGATTCTATGCCTTCCTTTTTCTCACTAACATCAGCACAGACCTCCTCCCTCTGCTCTTCCTTCCAGCTGGGGTGGGGGGAGGGAGGCCCCACTTGAGCAGTGCTGTGTCCCTCCTTTTCCACTTACTGTTACAAACAAGGCTGCAACCTCCACCTTTACTAGAGGTGATTCTAGGCTAACACACAAGCTGCTAGAGGGGCTGTTGGCACCAAGGCCATGAATGACTGTAATCAGCCGCCGGGGAGGCTGCTCCCATTCCATGCCCACTGTAGGAGAGGAAGGTGGGGAAGCCTGTTTCCCACATCCTTGCCAGCACTGTGATGTACTGATTTCCTCTGCTGCCAAAATGATCACACAGGATCACAAACTGAGTGGCTTAAACACCATGCATGTATATATCATGTCACATTCCGGAGGGCAGAAGTGTGGTTCAGGTCCCCCTGGGCTGAGATCCAGGTGTAGGCACACTGCTCTCCTTTCGGGAAGCTCTCGA